TCCTTTTCGACGACGGGGGTCTGGGAGGTGGCGTAGGAGGGGGAGCAGCCGATGACGGTGCGCTGACGGCCGTCGACGTCGATGATGTACGTACGGCAGACCTTGTCGTCGTCGTCGTCGTCGTCGTAGGAAGAGTGGCCTCTGTAAACGTAGGCGTGGTCTCCCATGTTGACAAGAACTTAACTTGATTTTTTTTTGGGTTCTTCTTCTTCTTGCAGATTAACGTGTTTGAAGTTGATGCTTTATATATAGAAATTTTTTGTGTTCATTGGTGGGTGATAATTCTGGTAAACGATGCCATTTTTAGAGCAGTCACTTCTATCTTACGTTGAAAGAGAATCAGGTGCTTTTCTTTTTTTTTTTTGGTTTTCTTTTCTCAGGCATATTTTTGTTTATGGGATTCTCTTGGGTTAATCTTCCATTGCAAATAGTACTCATGTTTTTCGTCCAGTCAATTTTCATGCATGAATTACGACCTCCATTTCTGTACCTTCCTTTACGTTGGAATATGAAATTATCAGTATTATTGTCTTCTCTGCTGAGTGGTAGCCCTTCGTTTTTTTGTTTTTTGTTTTTTTTAAGATTCTTAATATGTTGTTGCTTTTGGACCATAGCACACAATGTTAGGGAAAAAGAGAGAGAGAGAGAGAAAGAAAGAATTTAGAGAAACGACCAATACTGTATGTGGCAAATGACGTGGCATTCTCACTGTAGTAAGGGCAACAGTGCTGAGGAATAAATGGTGTGGTCGTGGAGTTTTATCTCTCAGGAAAAAAAAAAGTTGTGGAGTTTTATCATGACAATAGTCAATAGCCCCATTTTTGCCACATTCTTTTTGACCTTTTTCTTCTTCGTAGTGATGCTTAGAAAAATACTCTTTTGATACTTGGATTTGTTGCGTACAATAATTACTGATGTGGTGGTCTGTGGACGCTTTTATTTTCATATTATGGCCATTTGCCAAACCAACTTAAGATTCTTGTGTAAATTTTTAATAAAAATTACATCCAAGTATCAATCACCAAATAAAATCAGTTAGAATTAATGGTACGTTTGAAATTCATTTTAAAATAATTTTATTTTTTGTATACAAATAGAAATAAAAATATTTTCAATCTCAGACATAAATTATTTTTGAAAATACGTTTAATAATTTTATTAAGAGATTGTTTTCAGTATAAAAAAATCAATTAATGTCTCTATTTCTCTCTCTGTGCTTGAGAGAGGAGAAAACGAAAACAAAAAATGAAAAACGACTAAAAGTTATTTTTCATTTCTCTTTCATTTTACACTAAACCAAAAAATCATTTTCATTTCAGTTTTTTGTCTTTAATTGTGTCAAATGTTGTTCTCTTTCGTTTTCATTTTTTCTTTCTCAAAAAACGTGAAAAACAAAAACAAAACCAACTCTAAACATGATTCAGAAATCACGTTTGGTTGATGGATTCAGAATCATGATTAAAAATTATTTTCGATTTACGTGTGTTTTTTGTGAGAGAAAACATGTAACGAGCTACGTACCATGATTCGAACTATGATACGAATCCTTGAACCAAACACATTGTGTTCACCATTTTTCAGGAGCACTGGATTCCCTGGTCATGTGACTGATAATATGTCATGTCCTATCGTCTAGTACTGGCCATGCATTAATTCGTTTGTATTTGCCTCGAGCTTGAAATTCTTTTCCAATGAGCGAGAGAGAGCCATCAAATTCATCTATTCTATTTCTACCATTACTTTCTCTTCAAAGCCCATATTCTGCCTTTTTAAGAAAGCAATCTGAAGAATCCCATTCTTCCCTTTAATCATGTAATCGATATCAATCTGCTCTGGCTCCCATTTTCGTACTTGCAATCTGTTGCTGTAGACTATAAACGTCAAGAAAATAAAGCAAATTAAACTCTTATACACTGCCTAAAGAGATAAATAACGAACACTTTCTGGTGCTTCAAGATTGAGATGCATATTTGGGGATGACTCGCGATTGGAATATCTTTCTTATCGTGGGGAGGAAAAAAAAAAAGAAAAAAGAAACTAACGAATATGCTCCAAATATCTGGCCTAGTGCCCAAATGAGATCATAATGCATTCTTTTCTGATGTCGACACTGACGAAATGTTTCCTTAGATGCTCACATTCACATACATACATACATGCATAACTTAAAACCAACGCATTCGATCCTGGTAATAGACTAATAGAGACAAGCTCCTAAAAACCAACCATCAAGTGGGGTGGCCTAGCAGTAATGGACTACCGTGGTGGGTCTCTGATCCAAGATTCGAATGTTGAGTGATCCTCGTTAATGATTTTAGATGTGAAAGTTTGTGCGTGCTAGCGTAGTACTTGATTTAGAATGCTGAGATTACAACCCCATGAATCCCTAGTGTTCCCGAACTTTTCTTTTTTTTAAAAAAAAAAAAAAGCTCCCGATAATTATAGTTTCCATTCAGAGATCATTAAAAAAAAAAAGTTCCATGTTCTGTCACATTCTGTTCTCTTCAATGCAAGTATAACAAGAAACAGCAGCCAACAAGATGGGTTCAATCCTCATTATTAATGACTACAGAACATATGCATCCATCATTCAGATGATAACACATTTCCTGCTTCCTCTTTCGTCAAGATATCTGTGTAATGTATATATGTACTTTTTAATATAAAAAACCTACATCCACCAAGAAAGAGGGAAAAAATTATACTTTACAATACTAATGAATAGGACATTTTTGCTTCCTGAAACAAGCTATCAATTAAGGCTCAAATGTTGGGACTTCATTGGAAGGACCATACAATGCCTTATATACTGTTCTATCAATAACATTCCTATAAGGATCCTCTTCTCTCTTCTTAAGTAGGTATGCTAGACAGTGTTCTACTTCAGACTTTATCTGCAAGTACAATTCATTTGCATTATCTCTGTCTTTTAGGATATTTTCCTTTCCCTTTGTTTCAATGGGCTTCCCGAACATGTAGTAGTATCGGCCGGGCAACTTGGGCAATAGGCCCGGGATAAAGAGGTTTTCACTAGCAACTTCCCCTTTTGATTCATCCCTAGAACCAAGAAAAATTCCCTCTCATAAGAAGAAATACAATGTCATCAGAAATTATATTAAGCGATCGTATTATCAGAAATAATAGGATTACCTCACTCTTACAGCGCTGCGATTAGCGTTTCTAATATAATCATTTATTACAGGGATCTTCAGCAAGTCATTGTAGTCAAGAACCAACTGCCACGTCCATATCAATGACCAAAAGTAAGCAGGATCAACAAGAAAGATTCAAAACGAGTACTTTGTCAAACTCAAATTCAGAAAGCAATTCTCTGAAATTATCGGCAGTAGTAGAAAAGGCAGAGAATATTAGTTTGTTACGTCAGAACAGGATTATTTTATGAAAGAATCTTCTGAGCTTACATCTAGTATATCATCTTCTCCTACAGCTCCAAATGGCACAATCGTGGCGCCAAATCGAGCTGCCATTCTCACAAATTCTGGTTGATCCGGCCAAAACAATTTGTATGCTTCACCCTGTCAATGATAGAGACACCATCTAATAACAATGAGGAACCGGAGAAATTAAAAATAACTAGGGGAAAATGATGATAAGCAACAAGTTTTTGGCCTTAGGAAAAGAAATACTTAAAATGAAACATAAGGACAAACCTTGTAATGTAGAGCCTCGCGAGCACCACCAGGATATAGAAGGACATGTGATTTTGAAGAAAGCAATTTGAATAGATTGCTTGCTGTGACAGGTAATGCGCCAAATATTCTGAACCAGTCAGCCATAGAAAATTCAGGTGATGAACTCTCCGAATTGGCCACGAACAATTGAGGATGTGCCACGCCACGAAGCACTATATTTTTCTCTCGTAAATATTCCTCAACTAGTGAATATAGTTCAAATCCCATTATGTTGTGATACCCAACTAATAATACAGGACCTTGACTAGGAACCCCAGAGAGACCTTTCACTATCTTTCCATTTTCCAAAGTAGAGAATGAAACTGCACCACTCGCAATGCGAAGTAATCTGCCATTCGGGTTTAGTTATCAGTTATAGTAAAATGTATAGCAAAACTTTTTTGATTGTGTCAAATTCTAACACGCTATGTATCTTAAGAAAAGAAGCAAGATTAAGATTTTCTGTTGAATTACCCAATCATTTCTTCAAATGCAATTTCAAATTCTTTCCTACTAGGAGGAAGAAAATCCGAGACATAATCATGCCTCCTCGAGCGACGGTATTTGCTCGTACCTTTTATAATTGTCATTAAACTAATGCCATCTTCCTGGAAGATAGTAGCAAAAGTTGCAGTCAGTCACGTTTGTTTCCCACAAGAAACACAGGCAAAGGGAACAAGTTCCTCTACAGTTGTACGAATTTAATGGTCAAAGATTTTCAATAAAGATCAACAGTAGGATCAAAAATTATAAAGGACGTGCTTTTAACATGATATGGATATCCACAACTAATCGGTACAGAGCACATAATTGATTTAAGTATGTTTTATATATGACGAAAAAACAATGTAAAACTCAAGAATGTTTATCCCCTGTACATGTGGAAAATAGTATCCGCATTCCAAACCCTCAACAAGATTCGCAACTTTGATGGCTAATGTGAGCACAACATTTCATCACACAAGTTTCAATTCATTATAAGTAGTGTGTCCGAAATGTTCTTTTCCAATTTTCACTATGAATTTGGTCTTAGCAACAGTTGAAAGAAGATTATCCTTGACTTGAAGAACCAAAGACATATATTACATACAGAGTCACAAAGTGTGTTGATTGACAGATAAAATGGTCTATTTGCAGCAAAAAATAAAAATAAAAATCCAAAATACATGCATTAACCTACCAATAAAAAGGTATGCCCGCTGTCCTTGAAGTGACGAACTGTGCAATTTTGTAGAGACTTGTTTAATCTTTCGGCTTCATTTTTGCTAGGGACCATGTTATCTTTACCACTGAAAAACGTATTTACAACAGATATTAACTCATCCTTCAGCTAGACTGTAATAATTAGGATTTGAGGTAGAACCATGAGTTAAAAGAGCTATTCCATAAACTCTCACCCTTTAAATAATTATCTAAAGATGCCAAACAAAAAAAAGGCCTAGTAACATCTAGTGTGTGAAAACCTGGCAAGCACAAGTACTTCGGCTTTAACAGCATGGAGGCGGGAATTTGCATAAGCAGCAGCCGATTTAAGCAGCTTCAACTTCCAAAGAAGAGCATCCCTCGGTATAATATCAGCCAGAGACTGTACAACAAATTGAAAAGAAAAAGATATAAATTTAAACCAGGGAAAAAAAACATTTAAAAAAGCAAAACACAAGATGAGACAGTCAACCTGAGAATCATAATAAATTGCTGTACTGGTTTTCTACATGAATAAATTGGATAGGACCAAGATAATTAATCTAAATTTTGGTTAAAATAACTGGCTTTGACCTATTTTTTCATTTGGGAATAAAGAACCATTCTTTAGTGCCTAAGTTCAGGGTTTACCAAATATTTCTGACTGTGGAATTTTTGTTTTTCGTGTGAAAGTGAAATATGCATTTTGAAGCTAGATGACAACCTTAATGCATGGATGCTATTGCTAACTAGTGACAGCATGAGATCCGATAAAAGTAGTAAAATACGTATTTGAAATACAAGATAATCCAATGTAATAAAAGCAGATACCATTCACACACACACACAAAGGGTTGGAAGCAGTTCTTACAGAGAGGCATGGTAACATATCAGTGAGGTTCTGAGACATTTTCTCAAGCCTTTGTATTGGAGGAAGCTTACTTTCAACATTTACCATTGCCATCTTTGTTGGATCACCTGATGCCATGAAAGTGAAATAGAAATTTAAGATTTACGTCTCAAAATGACATTGTCATAAAGATCTAGAGAAAGATCATTCATATACAACTTATATCATTATTTGCATTCATATCAGAGTTGAGCAGATCATACGCACCCATGATATAGCTGAGAAGATAGGGAACTGCGGTATGTAGTACATCAGGCATAGCCTCCAAAATGGGGAAGAAGGGCTGCAGTTGAGAGCGGCCGAATGAAGTAGCTAAAAGGAAACACCAAAAGTGTCAGAATTCTTTAAAGTTATTAACCAAAGCTCATTAACTAAAAACATATCTTCAAAAAACTAACCTGGATTTACTAGTATCAGTACTAGGTCGATGGTAGGATTTCGAGCAGCAACGGCAAGAGATAAGCATCCTCCAAAGGAATCTCCCACCAAATAAATTGGTTTGTTTGGAGAGGAAGCATGTTCAAGCCTAACAGTTTCTTCAACGAATTTTACCAGCCCTTCATACAATAAAAGCCACTCAATTAAAAGATTATCATGAAGCATATATCAAACGGACAAGAATGAAAATAATACAAGCCACCTCTCCCTAAAATGTTGTGTACATGGGCGGGAAGAAACTCACATGTGCATCCATCCTATTGATCAGTAATGGCTAAGATATACCTCCTCTACCAATTTAATGACGTGACGTAAACAAGTCAAATTCAATGTTGTTACAATTGTAGTTCGTAGCATACTAAGCTACGAATATAAATTTGTTACAAGTACATTATGCAGGCACATACAGATATATAAGATTACAACCTTCAAATGGTGTTCGATCATTAACCGGAATGTGCAGGCACCGAACTTCAAAAAACCTGCGTTTTGTAGACATATACATTAGAAATTATTTTATAATTTGACCCAAAAACCGCACGCTAAAAATGATTTTCCAGCTAAGTCAATTTTCTATTAACAGGGTAGTGACTCCAAACAGTTTGGTCAACAAAAAAAATAAAAATAAAAAATTTCCATGATGACAATTGAACACTATGCACACTTGGAAATGCATGACAAAAGAAAAGAGAGAATGTTTCGAGCTGTCTTATAAGTCCATGATCTTGAGAAAAAGAAAAAAAAAAATACATAGAGTTGGTCCCACTAACTTAATCATAGAAAAGGAGATGAATGGTCCTGAGGAATTCAATCTCCAATACTTCCTAGTAATGTTCAGTTAGACCAACTTTTAGCCTTACCATTTGATATTATATCATTAACAGAAACTGTTTATCTGAACAATCACAATAGAACCAATTACTTTTCTAAAGACAAAAATTAATATAACTTACTTCCCAAGGGCTTTGTGGTGCAAAATTAGGCCCATCCCAGTACCATCTATGCCTGCACACATCAATGCCAAAATGAAAACCTTTTAATAAAGCCTGCATTTTCAAACTACCCCCAAACAAACAAAATGCATACCTGTTTTTTTTTTTTTTTTTTTGTTTCAACACAAACAAGATTCTAAGAAAAACAAAAGAATCAAACTGAGAATTTATTTATCATCCATCAAATTACCAGGCAAAAACAGAAGAACAGGGGAATCCTTTAAAGGACGCCCACAAGAAATGGGGCTAAACCACCTAGGGGGCCCACCATCAGGCTTAATCATCTCCTGTACGTCGTAAAAGTAATCTTTGACAGTCTCAGTCCCATACCCATCATCCCAAAAAGGCTCCAACTTTTCTGGAACATCATTACCGTTTACAGGATGACTCCTTTTCTCCTCAACTTGTTCTTCTTGAGGCTTCTTTAACCTTCCATTCCCATGGTCAATCAAAGTCTCTATTTTCCCAACCACAGAAGCTCCATTAAGCACAGAAGCCACATCTGACGACAACACAGCAGAATTATCTCCCCCACCGCCTAAATTGTGAACTCGCCAACGACAGTACTGAGGCCTGTTCTGTGAGTTTAATCCCAGAAAAGGTGGTATCTTGAAAGTTGTGACTGAAGCCATGGCTTCTACTTCTAGAAGCAATGGCAAAAATCTTCAACCCCTTTTATTCTCAAACCAAGAAAAAAAAAAAAGCTAATATTATTTTCTTTGCTTAAAGGTTGCACCTTTTGTGTTTAGGCTTAGCCATAAAATAAAAATAAAAATAAAAATAAAATGCACGGAGATATACAAGACCGAAACCAAGCAAACCAAGATAGACAAAATTAGGATTTTTTTTTTTTTGGGTAACGGAAAAAAATGAAGAGTAGTGTGAGCACAATGTTATTATTGCTGCTGAACTTAACAACAAAAAGGTGGAATAAAAGGAAGCTAAAAAGTAGTATGAAATAACAACCAGAAAGTGAATATATGACCCCTAAAAAGACAAAAAAAAAAAAAGGGAGAGTGAGTAAATATGGAGGACAACAAAAAACAGGAAATGCTAAGGTGGAGAAAATTTGTGAAAAGTGAAAAGAGCCATTTTTGGCATTTACCTGATGTGGGCCAGAGTTGTGTTCTGCGGCTGATTGGCCACCATGGCTTAGTGAGTGCTATTCTTGGCTGTGCAATGGCCACACAAACATGTGAAAGGACTCTTTGTAATTCTAGTTTTAAAGGATAAAAATTATAGTAAAAGTTTGAGTTGAAAGTTTTGGAGGCGCCCCATATGGAGCTGAGATTGTAACTAAGTTTGTGTAATTGTCAGAGTGTCTCTGTCAGTACCGACAGAAATTGAAGGAAGAAACCGAATAAATATCAAACAGCGTAAGTTTGTTATTCTTGCACTCACAGGAAAATGCGGAAAACAAGTTAAAAGTGGGTTTTAACTTAATTTGATATGTAATTTAATATAATTTTTTATTAAAATTTTTAACTGTAATTAAAATTAAAATTAAAAACTTAAATTAAAAATATAAATGAGACTTTGTGTATAACCTTCGGTTGAGATGCATCTCACAATTGAGTTGATTATTTATTGTGTAAATATACCAGTCACATTTGATAACCGTTCTATTTCCTAAAAAAAACAAAACAAAAAAAATCCGTTCTAGTCTACCCAAAAAAAAAAGAAAAAAAGCTGTATGTTGAATAATGTTTTTCTCAGCAACACCTTCAAGAGTTCTCGTCCGTTCACTTCGCTGATTCGAGTTTGTAATTTGAGTTGAGATGTAATTTTATATGAGAGTTTTTTACTGTAGTAAAAAAGTTAAATGTGATTATTTGTGAGAGCTTTTTACTGTAGTAAAACTCGAATTCTAAACTCGAATTGGTGAAGTAAACCGGACCCTAGAATCTCACTTGAGCAAAAAATAAAATAAAATAAAATAAGAGTTTTGGGAATCTAACTCATTTAGTTAAAGAATTTATTTTCTGACTTGAATCATAATTTATAATTTATTATAATATTTTTTTTAAAAAATATATACATAAATTAAAAATAATTTTAATCTCATAATTTTAATTCATTAACTAAATGGAAGATAAACTTGAGCAGACAGTGAAACGGGAAGAGTGGTTTGGGTGGATCACGATTCACGTGGTGCCCCCACGCAATCAAATAAATTACGTGAGAGATTTTTTTTTCTCCTTTTCTGTTAGTGACAGTTTTTTTTAATTCTTTTTTTTTTTTTTCCTGAGTGTCAGAGTTGGTATCATGTGCTCAAATCCCCATCTACATTTATGCCCCAGTTGATTAGCGCTGCTCTCTTTTAATTGGAGATTAATTAATTAATCAATTAAAAAATTAAAGAAAAAAACAAAACGGAGGTAGACAACTGTCAGGATACCACCGGCCAAAAATACGAGACTACGTGGCACTATAAAGCCCAAACAATCGGAGCCAGAAAAGCCCAACTTTTTGTTTTTTGAGTAACCATTTTTCTTGATTTAATTGAATTGAAAATTTAAGTTAAAAAATAAATTTATGTGAGATAAAATATTATAATAAAAAAAATTAATTTTAAAGTTTTTATAAGTAAAAATAATATAGTAAAAACTTGAATCGCAAAAGGAAAAAGACCTTTACATTTATAGAATTTATAAATAATCTTTTTTCTAACTTTAAATTTTAAAGGTGGAAGAACATTAGTAGAAAAATGTAAATAGAGATATATAAAGTATGATAATAAAAGAAGCTTTGTACATTGAACAATATTAAAGAGATGTGTAGTAACCTACATCATGCACTAATAAAAATGATTTGTAATTCATACAATATTGCATAATAGTTTTACCCACTTTTAGTTCAAATTTCGACTCTTACCGTATATTAATTGTGGCGTTAACACTTACTAGTTTAAACTCTGCTTGTACGCGTGCGAGAGTGTGTAGAAAAATTTAATAACATTTTGTACAAACACATTCTCCTTTTAAGTGTAATATAGATTTCTCAAGAAAGAAAAAAAAAATTAGAAAAGTGAGGAGGCAAAAATGACGGATCCAAAAGTTGTACCTAAAAAAAAGGACTAAAAACTAGAGCAAATCACAAAAAAAGCAAGGAAAAAAGGGCGAAATGTTTAATCATTTGAGGAGATCCGATGAAAAACAAGTTGTTTTTTTATATATGTTAAAATTCATTGGGTACACCTACAAAAATGTAGTTGAGAGGATAATTTCATTAAAAAAATTTAGATAAGGACACATACGAGAAGAAATTATTTCAATTGTGGAATTAGAGAAAATATTTGAGTCACATTTGAAAAAAAAAAATGTATAGTAGCGAAATATAAGAAACAATAAAAGAAGAGAGGGATAAAAAAAAAGAAAAAAAAAGAAAAAGAAAGTAGACAAGAGACTTATGGACGAAAAATTTTGTTCATAAGAGGAGAATCCGTTCAATATATACAAGTATAGATAGAAATAGATATATGAGAGTGAATTATTTCAACATAGATACTAGAAAAAAAAATATTTATGAGGGTAACAATTTGAGAAAAATATAAGAAAAATATTATGTAGTAGGAGAAGAAAAGATAAGAAGGAAGAAAAAAAAATTAAAAGAGAAGGAAAAAAACACAAAGTAAAAAAAAAATATATACTTTTTAGAAGCGTTTCGCACACATTCTCATTTACATAAGGTAAATAAAAGAAAAAGATTATAGTACCCCTAATTTTTTTTTTTTTTTTGTACATTTGTGGGTTGGCATCAGTCGTGATAGTACTTTAGAAGAGGACGATAGAAGAATTCGTTCCTTAATTTGAATTATAGTTCGTAATTCGCTATAGTATTTTCTCTCATAAAAAATACACGTAAATAAAAAATAATTCTAATCACATGATTCTAATTCATGAACCAAATGACCCATTGAGTCAAAAAACATGATTAGTTTCCATCACCAGAAAGGAGGAAAAAAAACAAAAAAAAAGACCATAATTTTAACAGAAGTTGACCAGGCGGCGGGCAACGAGGACAAAAAGACGTTTTAAACTACACGCATTCATGTACCAATCTTTGGACAATAACATGCCACTTATTTTGTACATTTTTCAGTGAAATAAAAACATGGTATACGCTTGATTTTGAACCATACACGCACCCCTGTTCAGCCCAGCCAGGTTGGATGGGTTCCCTTGCAAAGGTGGAACCCACCCGACTCAACCCGCAGGTTGAATAGAATTTTTCAAACTGATCCCCAGTGCCACTGTTCTTTTCATTTTAGTATTGAAAAAAAAAAATTAAAGTACTTAACAAACAAAACTTTATTTTCAACAAAGACAACGCAAAACAAACTTTACCAGGCTGCTAGCACAACAAAATTTCACATTACAAAGGTCGAGGCTTTGCCTTGCAAATAAGTGAGATAATGATATTAGGAATTCTTTGAATTAGCAACATATAAACTACGTTAATAAGATCAACAGACAAGTCCATTAGAACTAGGCCAGAGTTACGATATCAAGTATCATCAGACAAGAGTTTCACGTAGAAAACAAAATTTTCACCACGGAGAAGCAGAATGTACATGAAAATGGAGAAAATAATACATACATACATACATGCGTACATATATGTATATGTATATATACTTATAACTAGTTTCATAGAAATGGGATCGTCTTATTTCCGGAAATTAAATTAAAAAAATCACCTCCACGACAGAGTTCTTCCCTATGGCTATTGTATTGTTATCCACAATACAAATGTACAACACTTTCATCATCATATTTCTAATATGGCTCTAGGGGAAATTCCCAACACTCTATCCGTCAATTCTCATCCACAGTCAAAAACCCTTCTATAACCATTTTCCAGTGTCCGACAAATGCTCGACTACAATCAAAATTTATAGTACCAGCTTTCCAAATTCGGAAAACACTACACAGGAGCTTCTCAGCAGACATTTGAGGACGCACAGTATTGTGACTAATTGCTTTTCCAAATACCAGAATCCGATGTTTTCTGATCACCAGACATCCTCAGAAGAATCAATATTTCCCAGAACTTTACATAGCACAATATCGCCTGCAAGTATCAGTCACAAACCTTGAGGATAATGATAGATGGCGTTCGTATTCGATCAATCGCTCGGTCGGATCAAGACACTCATGAGATGAAGAAAAGTTACAGAAAAACAAGTAAAAAGGCATCTATCGTATACGGGCAAGTGATAATGTGTTTTTTCTTCTCTGAAATAACTTTTCTAACCTATGAACCGAGATTTATATATACATATATATATATTATATAAACACACACGTATGAATTATATATAATAATATGCATAAAAAAGAGAGTACTACCCTTCTCTCCCATGTCCCAAAATGTTTTCTTTCTTAATACACACCAAAAAGGAGCACTCACCTTCTCTCCAATGTCATAAAGTCACCTTCCTTGTACCACCCTATAATTTAGAATCAGATCATCAGATTTCTTCCATATGTAAGCACGGACTGTAGCTAAGCTCATGTCTGGGGACAGGACCTGGAAAAAGAAAAAATCCGTAAGTAAGCACATACTGTAGCTGTTCAAAAAGATTTAAAAGGCACATCTTATGGCCATTAAAAAATTTACAGCTCCCCTGCATGTGAATGGCTCCCATTTTACCCAGTATTTCACCGCAAAAGAAAGACTTGTGTGCAGTGTATTATGTGGGCTAAACATATAGGATTCTGTCTAATTTGCTTAAACAAGCTAATTAAGCAGAAATACAAAAATTGGAGGATCTGCCTGAGAAAGTACAATTGCTTTGAAAACCAGAAAATTGAAGTTTCAAGTTCCCAGGGTGTAAGAATTCGTTTTTAAATCAGTCCCTCAAGGTCGATTATATAATGTGACCTGCTCCCAGTTGAGAAATTAAACATAAACATAAATGAGGTAAAAACAGAATGGGACAACAAGAAGTTCATATCTTTATTAGACACACAATCGTTGGCCGAAAGATTTGACCAATCTTAAAGAGGACACTTGCTTGGTGCCACTAATAGCCAATTTACCATTTCATTCTCAACAAGAAAATTGCAGGACGCATCTATGACAAGGGAGGGCATTAATGATTGTTTTCTAAACATTTTGAATTTTTATTTTTTAACATGACTTTCATAGATGGAGGCAGCAAATAAAAACACCGTCGTCATTATCCTGCTTATTGCTGTTATTATGATTTATTTATATTTCTAACTTGTATCTCACAGTTGAGAACTGCAGATGAGACCATTGATTTCCAACTTCCACGGACTACGTCCCTTAACATCCATATGCACTTGCCTGATAGTTGCACACTATCTCTATAGGATGACTTGCCTGGTTGTTGCACAAAATCTCTATGGAAGGCTTATGCTTATGCCAGGGCCTATTTACGCGTAAAGATTCACCAAGCGCTGAAGCTTGCAACTGCCCTCCGGCAAGACCAGGAGCAAATGTTCCATCAGGATTCAAACTATCCAATGGTTTGTCAAGGACCATCTTTTCAACGACATAATTAATTACCTGCATAATCAAAACACCATTGCTCAGTCACTCACGAAGTATAAACCGTGGAAAAGATGTCGATGCAGTAGCATTGAAGGCGATGAAATTTTTCAAGTTTCAAGTTTCAACAATACATGTCAACTTTATCAAAATGGGCCTTTGAGCTTTTAGGCATACAAGCAGAAAAAGGATCAATCTGATGCTGGTTTGACTTTGATTAGCCTTTTACGTCCCAACAAAAATATTAAACAGCTCCAGTAGTTATTATGTACATTAAACTCCAAACCGTAGTGCAACATATTACTGCAACAATTATAACCAAATAAATAATCCCCAATAGATATATATTTTTTTAAAGCAGGCACAGATTGACTAAGAATTTTCTACTTAATCCATAAAGATGAAAAATCTCTCTTTCTGCAAAAGATGATCTTCCACTGACACCATGCAAAAAAACAGCTTCCTTTTCAAAAGTGCAGAGAATTGAAAACTTACTTTATGAATTCTCAATATACGTGGTGCACTCAATTTTCCTTGTGTGAGGATCTGAACAGTTGAACCTTCGCATGGCTGAAGATAAAAGCTGCACCTGTGAAAATCAAAATAAAAATTCTAGATTAACAAACTGTTTTGCACATCATAACAAAATAACATCTACCTAAAATAGAAAAGTTTGATTACTTAATCCTAGCTTACCGAGAGAGCTTGGAAATAATAAATACAAAAAAAAAAAAAAAAAAAGCCAAAATTATAGATTTTTAATAACTCCCAAACATATACTAGATAACTTGAGATAAGAACGATTGTGTAATGCAGAAATGCAGGCTAAGTGAGTATCAAAAACCTATAGTAAAATTGGCTTCCACATTTTGAGAGAGAGAGAGAGAAGAATTAGTGACTGTTGCTGTCAAACCAATTAAGATAAACGCACTTGAAGTCAGAGAAATTACTTTGTGTTTTCTCTAGGAGGTAAGCGATTATTTAACACACAATCCAGACACCACCACGGCAATTCCTTGTCATCTTCAGTTCCATCTAAACCAGTAATCTTCTTTCTCCATGGACCTCCCTGAGAGCCCTCAGAAATAATTGAAGGAGGTGATAGCGTTGAAAACTCAAAGGGAGGATATACCATTGAGTCATTTTCTGCATTACCATCTACATCAACTTTTGAATGGGTATGACCTCTTGTGCTAATGTCCTTCCCCGATAATTCCCCATTGGCAGAAGCTTGAGAACCAAATCTTTGCTTTCTTTTTGCTAACCAATGAGCCAAGAGTCCTTTAAGAGTTTCTCGTGCAAGGTTAACCTGCAAAATAAGAACATAATGCAGCAGATGAAAAGGAACAAACAGCAGGGTAGGCGGCGAGAAAAGACAAAAAAGGTCAAAAGCGGTTGTAATTATGGTTACATTTACCTTATCATCTTCAGGCTTCCCGACAATGTTAAGGTCTGCTGAATACATCTCAGCAGAGAAGCATTGTGGGGTATCCAAATGGACAGACAAACTTCCAAGTCTGGTATCCACGGTGAACCACGCAGGAATGCTTACCTGAATTAGCACATAAATCTGGACATAAGTCATCAGTATATTGAATGAACCAATATGTTAAGGACTAGGATATACCATCTCAAACAGTTCCTCTTTTTTCTCATCGAATGAAACCTGTATTTTGATAAAAAAAAAAAAAATGAATTCCATAGATACTTATACACATATATCAAGAACACGAAAACAAAAAAGACAATTAAACCGTGAAAAAAAATGGCAACCTCTCCATAATGTTCAATCACAATGCCTCTGGTAATCTCCCAAAGCTTCACTGATCCAGTAGTATCCTATCAGAATCATGTAATTTATGAAATCATATTTAGTAAGAGTAATAACATGGGCATAGACCTAGATTTAACATGTAAACATTAAAATACAAGTATAGGATTACAATTACCTTTGTCAAGACGTGCCTTCTGTTATTCAATATTTCATGTTGCACTATTGCGGGTGTTCCAGGAATTGCAAGAGTTGGTTCTTTATAAATAGGAACCTGCACAAATTTGCCAAAATAATCTACTTCAATTCTGTGTATCATATCTCGGGAAAGATTTGATTGGAAAATTTGTAGATTTTCTTAGCAATTTCCAGATATATGAGATTTTTCAGTAAAAAGAATGCAAAACAAGGAATATTTTTGTAATTGTTCCTTTAAAAAAAAAAGGAATACTTACGGGGCTAGATCCTTCTACTGACACCTTTGCTCTGGAAAAAGACAAGTTTCCAGCTAAGAAGGAACCACCTCTTTGAAAATTTTTCTGAGGATTATGTGCTTCAGCAGGCCACTTAGTAACTGAAGAATCTGTAGTTGCAACCCATACGCTATCATCATGCAAAGCCAACTTAAGGATGGGGTGTTCCCCTGTGCAAAGCAAAAGACTCTCTCTTGTTGCCAAGTCTGTCAAGTACAACTGAGGGTATAAACAGAATGGGCATCAAAAGGATGAGCATAAACGCTGAAAAGCAAAAGATAATTGAGAAAGTAGCTAGGTTTCATGGAGGAGTACTCACAGATTGATCTCTGCCACCACTATATACGTGACTGAATGTTGGAGAACTAGCAAGTGCCCAAACTGAATCTGTGTGCACGCCATAAGAATGCACACATCGCTGCTGACCAAGATCCCATAGCCTACAAACGGATATCAAATTTGATTAAACTACAACAATAACAAATTCGAAGTCTTATTTGGTTACATTCACGTAAAAATGTAGACACATGCAGGCTTAAAATAAGTCCACTACAATAAAACAGAAAGTTGTTAAGATACCTACCTGATCATTGAATCAGAGGATCCTGATAAGCAATATCTGAAAATTTTAAATTTGCAAAAAAAAAAAAAAAATCAGAAATAAATTCATTTTAAATTGTCAAATAACCAGGCAATACGTCAACTCCTACTGTAAAGTTAATCATAACTTAAAACATGTCCTCAGGGTACCGTTGTAATACAAAGTAAAATTAGAAGAAATCGATTTAATATTAATTCAATACCAAGAGTCACGAATTTTCCAAGAAAGTTATCTTGGGTTTGAAACTTAATTTACCGTTTTAAACTAATGCTATCTGACATCATGTAAAAAGGAATTATAATGTTAAAAAAAAAAAAAAAAAAAAAAAAAAAAAAAAAAATTAATTTTGTTCTTTGTCAGTTTGTTGCTTACAGAAACAAACTAAGACAAAACAACAAACCTGCCAGTAGAATCTAGAAGCAAAACCCTGATGTTATCTGTATGCCCTCTAAGTTTCATTGTCTTTGAACCACTTCTTGGGTCCCACACTCGCACAACCTAGACCAAAGCCAACTACTAGATAAAAATTAAATGCATTTATGATAATGTTCATAATTAGATTATGAAATGGCGATACAAGGGGCCAATGTGGTGAAAATACAGCTCCTCTTATAAATCTATGGTTAGGTAATGATTATAAACACAAAAGCAAGCATTGAAATCAAAACATACCTTCTCCGTACCACCAGAGACAAGAAGTGTTCCACTATCATTCATTGCCAATGCATAAACCGACTCCTTATGGCCTTTGGCTGCTATTGGAACATATCCATGTGATTGGGTAGCATGTACAGAAATATTGTTGCTTGAATTGATACTACGTAAACTTGTAATTGGCAGTGGATGCCCAGAACCATTTATACCATTCGAGCAATCATCTTCCATTGCGTCACCTGACTTTGAAACTGGAGAAAGTGCAGCTTCAAGATCCCATACGAATACTTCCCCTCCTAGTCCCCCAGAGGCAACGGCATTGCTCTAAAATGCACGACACTATACAAGGATCAGAAATGGCATTGACAACTCACACAATTACGCCTCGAAGCACTATCTAGTTATCAAACTAAATGTGAAACTTATATAACAGGGCTGTACAGACAGGAACCTTCATGAAAAGTTTGACAAAGACATTACATTTTTTGCTGCTGCAGCAAGACAAGTAACGTAGTCAGAGTGCTGACGGAGAGTCCTGGTACACGTTCCATCAGACATGCAATTCCAGGTCTGGTATGTTGAAACAACAGTCACCATAAAGTTAATAAACAAAAGCTAAAATGAAAAATTAGTCAACAATCTAATCTGAACTTGGTGTGAAAGCAGCAAAAATGATCTATAAAAAAGAACCTTGAGGGTGGTATCTGACGAACAGGAAACAAGTGTATTATCACCTGCAAGAACAGCATCATTAACCTGCACAAGCAGAGCCTTTTGTGAGTATGCATATATATAATATCCATCAAGCAAAGAGAAAAAAGGAAAAAAAGAGAAAATTGCCTAGGCCCCTACCAAAAGTGACACCATTTTCTACACTCGATGGAATTGTGGCTACTCTTATACGTTCCCATATTTTAAAATCAATAGACATGGGAAATACTGTAATCTAACTAGGGTAGAGAAGAAAAGGAAGCGGTACCCAATCAACATGAGATTCAAAGGTAGTAGAGCAGGTGGCAGCCTCTTCTCCCAAAGCCCATCTTTTTAGTGTGCCATCACGGCTACCGGTAAAAAGGTAATCACACCCATCAGACACTGTTGACTTTAGTAGAGCCAAACAATTTATGCCTGCACAATGCTGCAAATAGAGAAACATCCCAAAGGCAGTAACATGAGGATCTCAAAAAGATCGAGGTCATCAGCCCTTAATGACTGAGATGAAAGTAAGTCACTAAGGGCTCGTTTAGTTCGCTGATTTGAGTTTTTAATTTGAGTTGAGATGTGACTTTATGTGACTTTTTTACTGTAACAAAAAAGTTAGATGTGACTGTTTTTGAGAGCTTTTCACTGTAACAAAACTCGAATCAGTGAAATGAACGAGGCTTAAGTTATCATTTTTCTGGAGAAAAAGATTACAACGTAACAATTATGACAGTTGTTAATTTGTTGGCTTCTTAAGCAATCAAATGTATCAAAATTTCAAAGACTATAAGAACACAAGAGAAAAAAGATAAAAAACTTAAAGCATACATAAATCTTAGAGCCACCAAACACAAACAAACAAACAAACAAACAAAATCAACGCAGAAAACAACCATATTCAGAAGTCCACGGGATCTAGAAGGAAAAAAACAACCCAATAAACTCAGTCCCCAGCAAATTGAGATGGGCAAGGATATTTCCTCGTAAAGACGATTCGTAGGAGCAAACCAAACACAGCAAAAATGACGACGATCCCCTTTACAATAACTCAAAAAACAGAAACTAAACATGAGACAATAAGACAGAGTACCAACAAAAGTTCACCTTTGTATCATCAGCATCATTCAAAACATATGTCAATCTCTTCTCTTTACGAGGGCGGGTGGAATTTGCTGTGTTCCCCGCGCTACCCACACGGTGCATTGCAGAAGCCACTGGAAACATAGAAATAAACACGTACTGAATCCAATTCTGCCAGGAAAAACCCATCGGCCTATTCGAACTCAATCTTATAGTCTATATAAAAAACACACAACAGAAAAAAAAAGTACACGCACAAACTACGAAATCAAAATCATAACCAGGTTAACTATCTAAAGCTCCTCAAACCCTCGTTGAAATCAACCATCCGATAGAGAACCTCACTGATCTTCAAGTAAATTTACCAATCGGATCATCAAAATTAGGGTTTCAATCTTCTATGAACCAGATACGTAAAGCTAAAATTTTTTCCCAAAAAAAGGAAAATAATCAAACAAATACACAATTGCATAATCCAGAGAAACGAAATCGAAACAAAACAGATAGAACTGGAGTGGGATTAACGAAACTAGAATCAACCCTAACCTCGTCAATCAGTGATGAAAAACCAAGCTCTTCTCTTGGTGTTTTTTTTTTCCTTTTTTCTTTTTTTAATCAGTTTTCCTTCTTCTGCTGCCGAAGTTGCTATTTTAGAGAGAGAAAGTCCCTAGAGAGAGAGAGAGAGAGAGGGAGAGAGAGAGAGATGAGAGTGAAAATTGGGGATGTGTGGGTTTCGACATGTGCTATGAGTCCCCTTTGACTCGGTTTTTCTGTGTCTTCAGTGGGGGCAATGCGGTCTTTTCGTCAAACAGATAAACTAGGAGGGGGAGAGATTTTGGTGTACTCACCGGTTAAAGTGGAGAGTGCTTGCACGCGCCACGTCCATGGCCGGCTGAGGATTTTACGTACGAAAGGGCGTTCAAATCAACTTAATTACAAAGTGGCCCCGAGCGCGTAGGCTTCTCTCTGCGTGATCCGCGAATGGAGTTGAAAGTTGAAACCTTGATGGTAAAATGGCCTTTGTTTCGCTATTGTCTCCCCAATAGTTTTCATATTTATGCACAGCCCTCTTTTTATGTTTTCTTTTACACGTCGCCCAAATATATTTGTAAGATTCGCACGTTATTTTGATTTTATCATGATCTGATGGCCGAATCTGTGCATAAATGTTCTTTTATGCGCATATATATATACAAGTTTATTTTAGAAAAAAAAATGAAAAACTAAAATGGTATTTTTTTAGGATAAAAATAGAGTAAAAGGATATATTACATAGGAAAACAAAGTCAAATTTTTTTATTTTCGGAAAAAGGGGAAAATATTGGTCTCAAATTTTTCTCCAAGTAACATGGTGATTATGCTGAATAATAATGCACGATAGGGAGTACTATAAATCTTTTGTTAGTATGTAACTAAGTTGTTACGTAAGAAATATTTAGCAGAATTTGATCCAGGCTTAAATCAATGACTGTACTTTAATTCTTTCGTTAGTATTTTTTTTTAAGGATCTTTAATAATCAGTAGCTGTCGCTTAATATTTTTATGAAACTACTACGTCTAATCAATCCAACTCGCTTTATCATATTATCAATTGCTATAAATTTTAAAACAAGTTGCGGCGGGAGATATGGCAATATTACCGCTTTTCTTTTTTCATAAACAACAAATAGTATTACTACTTTTATTTGAGGAAATTATATAATATATGTACACACGTATATACTACTACTTTATACGATTAAAATAAGATAATTGATACCCCCAAAGACAAGATAATTCAAGATATTGTATTTGCCCCAAAAAAAAATAAGGGTCTCGTTTATTTAACCGATTCGAGTTTTTAATTCTAATATTGCTACAGTTAAAAGTTTTCATAAATAGTCACATTTAATTTTTTTTGTTACAGTTAAAAATTCTCACAATTTATTTAACCGATTCGAGTTTTTAATTCTAATATTGCTACAGTTAAAAGTTCTCATAAATAGTCACATTTAATTTTTTTTGTTACAGTTAAAAATTCTCACATAAAATCACATATCAATTTAAATTAAAAATTTAAATTAACGAACTGATAATTCGAGATATTGTATTTGGAACAAATGTATCAGTGATATAATTTGAGATTAATAATTCGACATCGTAATTTTGCTATATTTACTTTTGGAGGGAACCATTAATTTTTTTAAAGAAATATTTGGGGCCACATGACAAAGTTTGCACGTGGGTGTGGGTCGTATTGTAAATGTAGGTGATGGTCAAACGAGCGTTAGACGGATGGGTTCATTCGTCAGCAAATTCGATAATCAAATCTAACAAAAAAAAAATCGATAATCATATTAGCACAGGGAAGAAAAAAAAACACATAATGACATAGTTCCATATTAAGTCTTTAACTTCAGCCTTTGATCAATGCTCACATTTATCAGGAAAAATAAGCATTTATATATCGTTACTTCTATTAATAGTTTTAAATTTATTTATATTATTTTTAAATTGTGATTTTTTTTTAATTTAAAGAGGTTTGGTGGTCTTTGATAACATACCTAATTCTATAAGTTATGTTAGTTTGTATTAATACCGAGCTCTTTTGCTTTTTTTATAGTACATTTTTTACCCTCTTAAGAGGTGGATGTAGGCATATTACTGAACTTTTATTTTCTTATTTTATTTTTAATATGTGTATCATAACTCTGTGGCACCAATGAGTAACACCCAATGACTCTTAGAGGATTAAAAAATAAAATAAAATAAAAAGTCCCAACGCCCCATGTCTACTACCTCCCTGCACTAATTTGCACACCGCTGCTTCAACCTCCTCTCTATCAGTTGTGTTGACTTTGACTCACGTTCCATTTAAGCTCGTACCTCGCATGATCATGGAGCCGAGCTCTTGGTCCGCCGTCCATTGCGGTTGTCATGAAGCCAAGCCACCTCACCCAAGCGACCTTATGAAGGTACCTTGCTCGAGCTTTCAATCACCCGATCAACGGATTCACAATCATTGCTGTAAATTAACACAATTATCGACGATTATAGGAAGAGATAAATGGTGCGTTTAGAACTCGTTCTAAAATACTTTTGTTTTTTGTATGAAAATAGAAATGAAAACGTTTTCAATCTCAGACATAAATTATTTTTAAAAATGCGTTTGGTCGTTTTATCAAGAGATTATTTTCAATCTAAAAAAACACATTAATGTCTCTCTCTCTGCTCGAGAGAGAAGAAAATGATTCATTTTTTTCTCATTTTACACTAAAACAAAAAATCATTTTCATTTCTGTTTTTTGTTTTTAATTGTGCCAAACGCCGTTTTGGAATCATTTTCATTTTTTTTCTTGAAAAACATGAAAAATAAAAATAAGAACAATTCCAAACACGGTAAAATATTCCTAAATCGCTCTTCTAATCAAAGATGACACACATTCACTCAACTCTAACAAAAGAAACAAATTCTCTCATTTATATCGATGGCAAACTCCGAAATTAACATTCAATCATCTTCAATGGTCTACGATTTTCTTTCATTTAAGAGGCTAAAGTACATGTTCACACTAACAATACCGAAACTATATATGTTGATTAATTCTCTCTAAGTTTGTTGACTTGGCATCGGAATGCCATCGCCTGGTACACGTGTTCTTAACACGTTTTTTTTTATTTAAAGTGTTCGTTTGTCCTGATTTAAAGTTCAAACTTTTCTATTTCTGTTCAAGACTCCTACTTATATGTGTCCTAAATGTTGATCACTGAGATAAATTTTGTTATCTACTGAGCAGATCACGTCTCTTCTTCTTTCACACTACATCAAACATTCCTATAAGAGAAGCAAAAAAATTTTTGTAAAGGAAGAAAAAATAATTTGGTATTTCAACATTAAAAATTAAGGACAATTATTCTTAATGTAATACCCGACTTTTTGTGAAACTAGCTTATTTAAGAAAAATGATAAAAATAATTTTACTTTATGATTTTGGAATATTATTGGCTGAGAGGAAGACGTGCTTAAGATAGTTACTTAAGATATGATAATTGCATGGTCAAGCATGAGGTGGCTTGAAGGCATAGAACCACTTATTTACTAGCATGTATCTTTTGTATGGTAAAGAATAAAAGCATGTGGAAGCTTATATCTTAAGCATTTGACATCGAACGACAAGATATGTATGATGTTGAACCAAGTATATGTACGCAAGATTACTTCTAAGCATGTAATAGAAAAAAAAATTGTTAGAGAGAGAAAGAGACAGAGGAGGAAGAGAATCTCTATATCATATAGTTGGTAAGTAGATTTTCTACTGCATCACTTGAACAGTAGTATATTTTCAATTTATATACGATTTTTATTGACATATTTTCATAAGATTTGGAAAATATTTATGAGTATGATGTGAATTTTGCGTCTATTATGAACTAATTGAAATACGATAAAGGGCCAAATCCTGGAGGAGTAAGAGATTCTATGACAGGGGCCATATAAAAGAGGTTCTAATAACACAAGATTAATATTATACAAGAGGGCCCTAAATATTAAAGAAAAGTATTCAAAAGTGGAAATTATTTGTGGTTTACTTACTGATCTTGCGCTCATATAGTTCTCGTGATGCAGGTAAGTGTTAAAATAGAAGTTCCAGTTGACTGAGCAAGAATGGTTCAAGATCCCATGACAAGTTAGGAGATCTTAAGAAATGAAATTTGTAATATTAAGAATTTTGTTCGATGATTTTATTTGTGATAGATATTATTTCTTTATTAAGCAGTAATATTTTATTTCAGTTAACGTTTCTCTCGAGCATGCATTGTTTTTAGCTGCTTGCTCGGGAGGGGCGTTACACCTAAAATCCGAATAATATTAGCTGAGATGATTGAAGGAGGAAATTAAAGAAGAGGACGGTATAACACGCTTTTCAATGTGTTTAAAAGGGGTACTCTTTGGCAATCTGGGCATGTTCAACTTATCTTATACATGAGAAATGCTAACATCACTTTTTTTTTATAATTCTTTTTATCACTTTCCACATTTACTATTTGATATATGGAATCCACTTTATTTAAATAGAAATGCTATAGTATAGTTCACGTGTCAAACAGTAAATGTGAAAAATGACAAAGAGAGTGATATAAAAAGTGACGTTAGCATTTCTCTCTAATATATAAAGTAGTATAAAAGTTGGCCTCTACGTTATAATTATCAGAGAGAGTTGGAATATAATAGACTGATAGATTAGAGATGCTATTCGTATTTAGTGTCTTTTTAACATTAGCATGACATGCAAGAGCATGCAAAGCTCAATATATGTGAGCGGCTGGGGAAAAACTTTTGTGAAAATGAAAGATAACTAACCATCCTGCAATACTTCTTTTAGTCCCCCTTGTGATTGACCTACAAAACAATATCCACCGCACGTATAAAATAATTATTCACAATATTCACTATCTGGCCATGGAATATATATGTACGTGGGGTAATCCTTTTTATTTATTTATTTATTTATTTTCCTTCCAAGGAGGGAAAAAAATAAGGAAATTAAAAAGTGTTTGAATAGTATGGGTATAAAGCGTGACAAAATAGCGTAAATAAGGGGTGTGGACTGAATATTGGTGCATATCTGATGTGAGCGGCATTTGGTGAGAAAAAAGTCCAGTGTGTTCTAGAAATATCATGGATTCAAATTCAATACTTGATCACAACCACACATCATGTCAAACGATAATTTTAATTTTTTTGTTTTGTTTTTTATAGTCTGAATTTA